AAACTTTAAGACGAATGTGCCAGGCGCTAAGGGGGAGAGGCACATTTTGAAAAGGACCCGCCCTCCATCCGTGAAGGTTTTGCACACTTTTGAAACGAATGTGCGCGACGCTCAAGCGAGACCGGCATCCTGAAAAAGGCCCGCCCTCCGTCCGTTAAGCTGTTGCAGACTTGTACTAAGATGAGTGTGCGCGGCGCTAGGGCGAGAGCCGCATTTTGAAATTCTCGGGCTGGAGCCGTGGATATCACTTCCTGGGGCGGAAATGTGATATACCTTCGCCGAAAGGGGACGGGGGGGAGGGCGATAATTGCTTCTTACGGCTAATTTAACTATTTGCCTGGGTTTTTAAACATTGATTTTTGCGTTCTCATCTTTTCGGGCGTCTGTAATTAACCCAACACGGCGCGAGAGGCTCCCCTAGCCTGGCACACGACGGCCCAAGAGGCCCCCAATAGGGCCCAAAGATGGCCCGAAAGGGCCACAAGACGGCCCACGAGGCCCACTGTTGCCCGGTCTTCCTCGGATTGCCCAGTTGCCCAGCTGCCCAACTGTCCAGTGGCCCAGGTTGCTGGGGTTGCCCTGTTGCCTGGTCTTCCTCGGGTTGCCCTGTTGCAAGGGTTGCTTGGGATGCCCAGTAGTCTTGTTGCCAAGCTAAGCAATGCCAAGCAATGCCAAGCAATGCCAAGCAGTGCCAAGCAATGCCAAGCAATGCCAAGCAATGCTAAGCAATGTCAAGCCATGCCCAGCAATGCCAGGCAATTCCGATCAATGCAATGCAATGCTAAACAATACCAATCGCAACAACAAAAAATATGACGCACTGCCAAGAAATACAAAGAATTGACACTTAACGCCAAGCGCTGCCAAGCACTGCCAAGAAATGCCACGCAAGACCAAGCAACGCAGTGCACGGACAAGCAATGCCACTCAAAGCAATGCCAAGCATTGCCAAGCAATGCCAAGCATTGCAATGCAAGGCAAAGCAATGCCAAGCAACGCCACTCAACGCAAAACAACAAAGCAATGCCAAGCAACGCAAAACAAAACGAAGCTATACGCTATACCTTATTTGATTAGTTACTAGCTTGTAAAGCTTTTCCCGAGGTGAGGTCGCGCTAAATTCATGCAATCACTTTGCCATGGGTTCGCTGTGGGCCGCCGCGCAGAAACATGCCCCAGCACCACGCACATTCACGGCAATCTTGTCGAAGCCTGGGGATGAGGAGGAGGAGGAGGAAGAGGAGGAGGCAGAACACGTAACTCTTTTGCGTTTTGCTCAGCCACTTTGTCGTAGGTTTGGGCCGCCGCGCGACGTGCCCTCTAGGAGTTTTAATGAAGCCCTGTTGGGCCTTCCTGGCTGCCTCCTAGGGCCCTCTTAGGCCGTCATGGGGCTCTTAGGCCTTTGAATGGGAGTCATCAGGCGCCCCAGCACTGCGGCAAACCAGCGGCAACCTGGCCGACACATTTGACCACTTAGCCGTGGGTTCGCTCTGATCAAGCGGCAGCAGAACCTCTTCTGTCTTCTTGGGGTTCTTTTGAAACACCCTTGTACGCTGCCTCTTGGGGCCCTCTTCGACCGTATTGGGCTTCCTTCGGGCTATCTTTGGGGCGCCTTTGGACCGTCAAGAAGCCCTCGACGCCGTAATGGTCGTCTCTAGGAACTATCTCGGAGCGGCCGTCTTGGGGCCCCGAAAGTGTCGGCCGACGTTTGGAAACAAATGGCGCTGCGTCCATCATATTCGCACGGGTGCATGCGTGCGGCCAGCTCGGCATAATTGGGGCACGACAAATTATCCGAACTTCTCCCAACTTTTGCTGGCGGGGCCGCCATGACCTTATTGTTACTGCATCCCGCGGGCGTTTTGCTTGCCTCGAAGGCGATGTGCCAACCATTAGATTATGCGAAGGCTCGGCCTGAGGAGGCCGAGTCGCCCAGTAGCCCGACCACTGTATCTATCCAGCCCGATGGCGTGTTTTTCGCCATAGGGAACTGCCGAGCTCACAAAGGAGATATTGTCCCCCAGGCCGCCCACCGCACGAATGTGTTAAGCCAATTCTAGACGCTTCGCGTATCCCCACCAGCCCGTCCAGAAACGACGCCCAGGCGAGTAGAGGGTCGTCCTGAGGGGCTTTTCGGCGTCTTGGGTGCCTCGGGGGGGCCTCTGTGGGCCGTTCGGGATCCTCTTTGGGGCCTCCTGGGGCCTCTTGGGGCCTCTTGGGGCCATCTTGGGGCCTTTGGGGGCCTCCTGGGCGCTTCTTGGGGCCATCTTTGCCCCTTGGGTGCCTCTGGGGGGTCTCTTGGGGCCTCTTGGGGGTCTCTTGGGGGCCTCCTTGGGGCCTCTTGGGGGGCCTCTTGGGGCCTTGAAGGCCCTGCTGGGGCGCTCTTGGGGCAATTTTGGAGGACATCGGCCAAGGAAGTGGGGTTCCTTAATTAGAGCCCCCCCCAGGAGCTCCAAAAATCGCTTCCTGGACCCCTCTTGGATCGCTCTTGGAGCGCTCGTGGCCGCTCTTGGCGCCATCCTGAGGCTCTCTTGGGCCCCTCTTGGAGCTATCTTGAGCCATCTTGGAGCCATCTTGACGCGTCGGATGTGCATCGCAAGCGAAAAAGTGAGAACACCAAAAACATTGATTTCCCTAGGGTTTTTAAGCATTTTCGCCTCTTGGATGCATCCTAATGATGCTCTTGTGGGCACTTGGAACCGTCTTGGGGAGTTCTTGGAACGTCTTGGAACATCATGACCATCTTGAGGCATCTTGCGCTATCTTGAGCCATCTTGGAGGGTATCTTGGGCTCCCTGAGGCCCTCTTGGAGCCGTCTTGGGCCATCTTGGGCGCTCCAACGCGCCGCGGAACCCCCTGTCCAGGTCAGTGGGGAGGGGGTAGGGGGAGGGGTAAACCCCTCCCCGAAGGGGAAGAAGGAGGGGTGGAAGAGGAAGCTCGTTAAACCACCGACGCCCAGAGGGCTGGTGGGATTCTAGACTGCCCTGTATAGACACACGTGTGCGACCAACCCCGGAAAATCCCCCCCCCCCCCAAGACATGTATTTCTTGGGGGCGATCTCTTACGGCCGCAAACTTCCGCTAACGGACCGGCGTTTCGTTTCCGCCGTCTTCCGCCCGGCTACCGCGAGAAGGCAGCACCCCTGGACATCCGATGCTTCGACTTTGCTTGCTTTACGGGGTCCCCGAAAATCCGGATCCTTTCTTCAAGGCCGGTTTCTCATCCTCACTTTCTCTTGAAGGTCTGGCCTGGGGCCCGACGAGGGCCCCCAGAGGCCGTAAACGGCGAAACATCTTTTGCGCTGATTTTGTTTTGGAGCCGCACGGTCACGCGCAGTGGTCCGTCCGAAGCTGGTTCCTGGGGGGGCCCTGTTCGCACTGCGTGCCGAGACGACAAAGCAGCGGCTGTCTTGGGCGAGAACCGTGTCTGTGTCCACGGCTTCGCGGGCCGGGCCCCTGGACCGAGACGCCGCGGATACAGGGTGTTTCTCGCGGGTGCCCCGCGCGGGCCGTATCCGTGCGACCGCGTATCAGCGGGACCGCGCCTGGGAGTCCAAACCTCAAGGGCGCGGATGCGGATACGTTCGCCGTTCATGACATCAGGGGGGAAGACGTTGAGCCCGATGCGGATGGTGCTTCTGTCTGGCTCCACAAGAGACCGGAGGCCTCCTAGACAGGGTCGGAGGCTCGCACCGCATCGCCGGCACATCGGCGATGCATCGTCGATGCGTCGGCGACGACGGCGATGCATCGGCGCCGTCGGCGTGGTGTAAATCGGGCTCCGCATCGAGCCGCATCGGCGATGCATTGGCGATGCGGCGCGATCCTCCAACCCCATTTGATCGGACCCCGTTTGGAAGGCCTAGAAGTACCTACGGAAAGGGTTGGGTAAGGAACCGCTGAATAAGGAATCCAGGGTATGGAAGCCGGTGGAACGCTAATCGTGTATCAGCCACGGATATCACCTCCGCCCTCGTCAGACAAATATTCTTCTAGGGTTTGAAGCCTCCTGATCACATTCCATAATCAATGCCCCCACCGTATCTTAGCATTGGGAAGCGGATCCCGAGGGGAACGGGCCCTGGACACTGAAGCGTTCCGCCAGGACGAGATCTTCATGCCGAGTTGTTTTTTGAATCCTGGGGTCCGTGGAGGGCCCCGAGGGCCCGAAATAGGCGACAGACCTCAGGACCCGTTTCCCTCAGGCCCTCTCTGGAGCTGGCCGCGTGCGCGGGCGTCTCTCCCCAGACCCCCGCCGTCGCGCTTCTGCTCACAGCGTCTTGGCGGCGCGCACAACAAGGTAGGGGAGGGTGGAGGGAAAAGTACCGATACCGCTTCCCTTCCCACCGTTTCCATCTTTTTGGGCGTCCTGGGAAGCCGTCGTCGCCACCGCTGGATTCGCCTCGAAATTCTGGTCAGAACGCACCCCGGGAGAAGTCCAGGGAGTAGCAGTATCGGTAGCGGTATCGGTGCTTTTTAGTTTCGCCAGTAGAAGGAGGGGGGAATGCTTCTCAGGAGGCTGGTTCGTACAAAAGGCGCCGGCTCTACATCTATAGAGAAGGCTTGGCCCGCGCCTTCTAAGAAGCAGGGGGCCCTTCAAAGGAGCCCCCCGCCCCTCCCACTACCCCCCTTCTGCGACTGGCTGAGCGCCGACTCCCAGAAGTGCCGACCCCTTCCCCAGGACCCGCTTTCCGTGCTGGGCAGCTCTTTGAGGGTGCCGGGGCCTGGCGAGGGCCGCAGAGGCCGGAAACAGTGGAGAACCTCCCGTCGAGATTGCTGCGCGACCCGAGGGGGTCTGGGTCTGGAGCTGGCCGCCTGCGCAGGCGTGTCTCCCGCGCGCCGGGGTAGCTTTTCCCAATCCTGCGGCAACTTGCCGATGGCCCTCGGAGGGCTCGAGTTGGGGCCCCAGAGGCCCCAAACGGTGAAAGACTGGGCGTCTCGTCTTCTTGCTTGTGGCGCAGATGCCTGGCGCCCTCTCTGAGGAGCCGTGTGCTGCGCGCCTGCAGGCAGAGCGCGGCGGCCAGGAGGACCGGGAGCAGGAAGCGGGCCACCCGGAGGGGGTTGAGCACGTCGAACGGCGTGCGGCCCGGCCTTGGTGCTCCTCCTCCCGCTCCTCCCGCTGCCCTTCCTCCGTCCCCAGGCCCCCTCGCGTCGTCAACAAAATCACAATGGAAGGTCCTTTGCCTGTGTGGCATCCTCGTCATCCTCCCTCCTTCTCAAACGTGCTCCCGCCGTGGAAAAAAACAGATGGGAGGATCTTTTTACGTCTGGGGCCAAGATCCCCTCGCGTCGTGAACAAATCACGCCGGGAGGTTCTTTGTTGTGTTCGGCCTCTGGGGGTCCTCGCCGTGCTCGGGGAGCGTCAAAAAAACGGCTCTGGATGAAAAGCGGGTCCAGGAAAAGGGTCGAGACCTCTGGGGGTCCACGTACTTGCTGGAAAAATGAATCACCGCATGTCTGGGCATCCTCCTGGCAGGATCCGCTGGCATCACAGACCATCGGATCGAATCGGAATGCGCGTCTGATCGGGCTGCATCGGTACAGGGTCGAGATCGGACCAGGTCGGCTGCGCCAAGACGTACAACACTGCCATGCGCGCGCGCCCCTCCGTTCCACAAGTTCAAGGACCGCCGCCCGCCCACCCCCCTGCCTCTCCCTGCTTTGCTGCCGCCGCTGCCGTTTTCGACTCATCACTCAGTGATTGCCTCATCTCATCTCATCTCATCTCATCTCATCTCACCTCACCTCACCTCACCTCATCTCACCTCACCTCACCTCGCCTCATCTCATCCCATCCCAGATCTCATCTCATCTCATCTCATCTCATCTCATCTCATCTCATCTCATCTCATCTCATCTCATCTCATCTCATCTCATCTCATCTCATCTCATCTCATCTCATCTCATCTCATCTCATCTCATCTCATCTCATCTCATCTCATCTCATCTCATCTCTCATCCTCCTCCTCCTCCCCCTCCTCCTCCTCCTCCTCCTCCTCCCTCCTCCTCCTCCTCCTCCCCCTCCTCCCTCCTCCTCCTCCCTCCTCCCTCCTCCCCCTTTCCTCCCCCCTACTCCCTCCTCCCTCCTCCCCCTCCTCCGCCTCCTCCCCCTCCTCCCCCTCCTCCTCCCCCTCCTTCTCCCCCGCCGTCACGGCCACGGGGGTACCGAGTCCGAGGGGATCCGCAAGGCCAGGCGGTCGGCGCCCGCGCGTGCCGTGCCGTGCCTGCGCGCGCTGGGCCGCTCCCCCGACCCCCTGCTCGGCTCGCCGCAGCCGCCGCCTCCTCCGCCTCCTCCGCCTCCGCCTCGGCCTCCGCTCCCTGCTCCTGCTGCTGCGCCTCCTCCGTCCCCGGCCCCTCGGAATCCTCTGACATACGGAGCACGCGGTGCTGCTCGCGTTCGGCCACTGGAGGCCCGTCTCGGATTCTGGGCAGGTCGAGGGGCCCAGACCTCGGACGACTCGATCAGTTGAAGTCTCTAGGCTTCCAGATGGGGTCAGAGTAGACGGGGTCGGAGGATCACGCCGCATCGTCGATGCATCAGCGACGTCCGCGATGCATCGGCGACGTCGGCGTGGAGAACATCTGGATCCACATCGAGCTGCATCGCGGATGCATCGGCGATGCGGCGCGATCCTCCGACTTCATCTAATTACTCTGACCCCATCTGGAAGCCTAGAGACGTCAACATATCGAGTCGTCCGAGGTCTGGGCCAACTGGGTCAGCGGCGGATATACGGGGCGTGGCGGTGGCCATGGGGGCCCTTGCCAGGCCTCGGGACCGTCAACAAAACGACTCAGGATACAAACGCTGGCCTGGGGAATGGGTCGAGACCTTTGGGGGTCGACGTTATGACAAAATCATGACGTCGGGGGTCTGGGAGGGAAACGACTCCTGAGGCTTTTCGCTGTTGTTCCCAACGAGTTGCATGTCGGCTCCGCGCCCATGTCGGTACACCCGTCACGAGGATCGTGGCCCCGTAGGGAGCTCCACAGAAGGCTCCAGTGGCAGAGGTTGCATGGCGGCCTCAGCAACATGTCGGTCCTATTGGAAACTCCACCGAAGGCTCCAGTGGCAGGGATTGCATGCCGGCTCCGCACCCACCTTGGTGCACCCCTCACGCGGATCGTGGCCCCGCAAGGAGCTTCGCGGCGCAGCACCCAGTTCGGTTCACCCCTCACGAAGATCGTGGCCTGGTAAGTTCTACAGAAGGCTTCAGTGGTATGAATTGCACGGCGGCTCTGCATCCATTTCGGTACACCCCTCACGAAGATCGTGGCCCCGGAGGGAGCTCCACCGAAGGCTCCAATGGCAAGGGATGCATGGCGGCTCCGCGCCCATTTCGGCACACCCGTCACGAGGATCGTGGCCGTAGGGAGCTCCACAGAAGGCTCCAAAGGCAGGGGCTGCACGGCGGCACCGCACCCAGTTCGCTACACCCCTCACGAGGGTCGTGGCCCCGTAGGGAGCTACACGAAAGGCTCCAGTGGCGGGGTCGCATGTCGGCTCCGCGCCATGTCGGTGCATCCCTCACGAGGACCGTGGTCCCAAAGAGAACTCCACCGAAGGCTCTGGTAGCAAGGGTTGCACAGCGGCTCCGCACCCACTTCGGTACACCCCTCACGCGGATCGTGATCCCGAAAGGAGCTCCACAGAAGGCTCCAAAGGCAGGGGTTGCATCGCATATATTGCAATAACCTCATGCCCGTGAGAATAAACATCAGGGGATAATGAAGTTCGGGGTTCAGGGAGAGATAATAATAGTAGCCCAGCAGACCTCAGCATAATCTCGAAGTAAGAAATGATCAAGAGGAGACCAAGCCGAGCACGTTTTGAGACATCCTTGGCGTTTAGTTTTCATAGAAATATCCTCAACAATGGCTGATCTCTCATGACAATTGTTTTTTGTAAGTGCTCGTGTAGGGTAGCTCATGTGCCTCAATTTCCATGGATAATCAACCCCAGAGATAAAAAAGTTCAGGCGAGCGTGGGGACAGAGAGAAATATAAAAGAAGAAGAATACAGTAGAATAATACTAAGAAAGAAGAAGAGGAGAATAAGAAGAGAACGAAGAAAGGAAAAATCCAAAGTTCCAAATCTATCAATTTTAATTTACAAACGCTTTATGAACATTGTTTTTTTAAGTGCTCGTGTAGGGTAGCTCATGTGCTTCATTTTCCATTGATAATCAACCCCAGGGATAAAAAAGTTCAGGCGAGCGTGAGGACAGATAGAAATATAAAAGAAGAAGAGGAAAGTAGAAGAATAATAAGAACATTGCTCGTTTCGTTTGAGTCTGCCTCCCAAAATTATTGGTTTCGCTTGACACATCCTGAAAAAGTGTGATCGCTTCGCTTGATGTTGCTATATCAACATCGCTTGATGTTGCTATCTCAACATAGCGTTTCGAGGTGATAATGAAGTTCGGCCTCAGCGCTCGCCGCCCAATTTGAATTTTGTATAGGGCGACGATAATCAACTCTAAACACTGAAGGGGGGGGGGGTCCCTTTATTATCATCGGCATGCGGTTAGATCACTGTTTGGGGTCCACGCTGGCCAACATTGTCAGGTTCTGGCAAGTTTACTTGCGGAGGTTGGCGCGGCGAAGCACGAGTGGAAATCTGGACTTCACGTAAGTCGGGACTCACTTCTGCGCCTTTCCAGCCCAATGCTTGTTGAAAAGGCGGCGGAAGTGGGGGGACTCTGAGACCCGACATTGCGAGAAAAAACGCGAGCAACGTTGTGTACAGCTGCGACCGGAACTCTGGACCTCCTGCGGCATTTTTCAAGCCGGATCGACCTGTGAGAGTCCTGGGGCCCGAAACAAAGCAAAATCGCCCGATGTGGAAAATTGAAAACCGCGCGTATATACACTAAGGTATATGGGCCCTGTCACATGGGGTTTCGCAGAAACGCGACAAAACAACGTGTAATGCATCAGTTTCTGGCCGTTTTTCTGGCGACAACTGTTGAAACCCACATATAATATACACAGTGTCGGGGCCGCCAGTTGCCGCAAAATGGTGGACAAACACACGTAGTACTATAGACATGCTCCTGGCCCCGGAACTTGTAACGACCGGATCTCAGGGAAATGCCATGCACGGGAAGATGCTCCGAAGAAAAAACGCCTCTCGAGGTGGGACGCGCTGAGTCCCCAGCGCCAGGGCGTCCACGTCCCACTGCAGGAGCAGGTGGTAGACCTCGCGTGGCCAGCGCCAGGGGGGGGGGGGGGCTGCTCGGGGCCGTTCACGAGGGGGGTTCACAAATCATGGCTCGAGGCACGTGCGCGTCCCAAAAGCGGGGCCAGGGGACGTCTTGAAAGGAAAGAAGAATCGGGGCTTGCTAAAGGTGCCCCTGGGCCAAGGTGCCCTCAGCTTTTCATCCAATCTTGGAGCCCCTAGGCCCTCTGGGCCTCGAAAGGGGTGCTCTGGAGGCCGTGGGGGCCTCCCTGGAATTCCTGGGGGCACCTTGGGCCAGGAACACTTCCAACAACACCCGAAAGAGGGGGCCATGAAAGTCGGGGAGACGTCGTGCCCCCCGCCACGATATCCACACCCCCGTCGTCATCCCCCCCCCCCCCCCCCTCCAGGCCACCCCCTCCTGGGAGATGTCGTGCTCCCCCCCATCCAAGCCGCCCCCATTCTCATCTTTCCCCTCCCCCTCCGTGGAGACGTCGTGCCCCCCGCCGCGATATCCGCACCACCGTCGTCATCTCCCCCCTCCTCTGTAGGCCGCCCCCAGGGGGTGTGTCCCGCACGGCGTGCTCCCCGCGAGTGGGGGAGGAGATTCTGGACACCCCCGCGTCGTGGGCCCCCAAGAAACGCGACGGAAAGTCATTCTATTCTACTCCACCTCCTGCTCCATTTCCTTTTTCTACTCCTCCTTCTTCTCCATTCCTTTTCCTTATACCTAACTTCTCCCTGTCGCACCCCGGGGCCAGTTTTTAGGGTGGGCGGGGCGTTTCGCCTGAGATTTCCTCACCATTTATGACCCTGAAGCTTAAGCATTGTCAGCAATTTCACGGAAGGAGGGCGGCCGGTTTTCAAAATGTGGCTCTCGCCTTAGCGCAGCGCGCATTTGTTTTGGAAATTTGCAAGAGCTGCACGGATTGATGGCGAGCCGTTTTCGAAATGTGGCTCTCGCCGTGGCGTCGCGCACATTCATTTAAACATTGCAAGAGTTTCACGGATTGAGGGCGGTTCCTTTTCAACATGTGGTTCTCGCCCCAGCGCCGCGCACATTCGTTTTAAAAACTTGCAAGAGTTTCGCGGATTGAGGGCGGGTGGTTTTCAACATGTGGCTCTCGCCTCAGCGCCGCGTACATTCGTTTTACAATTTTGCAAGAGCTTCACGAATTGAGAGCGGTTCCTTTTCACCATGTGTCTCTCGCCTTAGCGCCGCGCACCTTCATTTGAACAAATTGCAAGAGTTTCACGGGTTCCCATGATCAACGTACCAACTCTGTTGTTAAAATATGTTTCGTTAAAAAGCAAGTGCAACAATTACTGGATTCGAGGTGTTGGAGTCCCAGGAATGGCGCTCTGGCGCGATTCAGGCTCGTCCAAAGGCAACAATCAGGTTGACCCGTGGCGCTGGAATCCCGTGAACAATTTTTCGGCATGCTTCAGAATCTCCAAACGGTTGTCTTCCGACGACGCAGTTCCCTATGAAGAAGGAGCTTGGAAGGAGGGTTTATTCCAACATCGTTGATGATTCTTGGGTTTACACTGGTCCTCCTCTTCCTCCTCCTTCTGTTGTTCACTTCCGAGGGGGCCCTGAGCGGGTCTCGGGGCCGCCAAACAACGACCCAGGATGAGCAGCCGGTCCCCGGGAAGTGATCCCGACCTCTGGGGGTCCACGTTGCGAAACAAAACATGACGTCGGGGGTCTGGGGAGGAAGAGGCATTGATATCCCCCGAGGGTGCCACGCGACATAAGAGGATGATGAGGAGATGCTTGAGTTTGCCCATCTCTTGCGTCCACACACGTCGGCGCATTCAGTCAAGTCATTGTCTCTTCGAGGAACGCAGCAAGCCTGGCCCTGAAGGCCGCCCAACGTAAAAAAGAGGAGGAGGAGGAGGAGGAGGAGGAGAAGGAGGAGGAGGAGGAGGAGGAGGAGGAGCCGAGCGGAGGAGAGTCCAAGATCCAGATCCAGCCTCGCCTACTGGTCAAGAAACCTAAGCGACAACAGTCGGTACCGCGAGGAGGCGAGGGCGCGCCAGGCCAGACAGACGGGGGGAGGGGGGGAGTGCGATGGGTTGCAGCAACACCAACCGAAGCTGGCAAGACAATCGGCGGCGACGACTAGGAGAAGGAGGAGGAGAAACGACTCTTTGGGTGGGGGGTGCGCACTGAGCTCGGCGCGCGCCCGGCTCCCAGGAGGGAGGATGGAGACCAGAGTAGATCCAGGATGCGTCACTGTTGCTGCGGTGCACCACTGCTTAGTCAAGAAGATTCCACGCTCAGAAAATGGACTTCGCTCCAGGCGTGTTCTTACAAAGTACGTCCATGTCCATGTAAACGAATATCTGCGAGAAATGAAGCTCCAAGACAACGCCTCGGGTCCAGTCCAAACTCTTCGTTTTCTTCCGTGAAGTCTGCAATCCATGAAAGTTGCTACTTTTTCTCGACATTTCCGATGGGTGTAATTGCACCCTCCCGTCCCAAGCCCCCCCCACATGAATATGCACAGGTATTCCGCTCCACTGCCCTGGCGTCCCGCCTGCCGCGCTCATCGTCGCGTACCTGCTCCTCCTTGCCTCCCTTCCCCCTTCTTGCCCTTGGCTGCGCGCCTCCGCCTGCGCGATTACGTGCGACGCCACCGAATGCTTTCTCGGCTTGCGGCCTTCATGGAGGGCCCTGGCCGGCCCCAGGACCGTGAAAACACAACTTGGACAGCTATGATTCCCCAATCAGTGCTTGCACTGAAGGGGTCCTAGCGAAAACTGGAAAATTTGGCGAAAATGTCCCGCCGATTTTGGTGGCCGGCTTGGTTCCCGGGTTCCCGGTTCCGGGTTCCCGCGTGCCTGGTTATTGGTTCCGGGCCGATTTCGGTGGGTTCCGGGTTCCCAGCTTCCCGGTCGATCTCCTGATCGATCAAACCATCCACTGATTGGGGTTTTCTCTGTACTCTTTCCAACCCGCGGCCTCAGGGTTCACCCCTTCCTCCGCGAAAGTTCCTGGCTCCGGTTTCGACGGTCCCCCGGTGGCCGACAGCGGCCCCTGGATGCCGACACGTAAGAAACACGCCACGGAGGTCAGAGCCGGGGGACACGGAGCCCGTAGCCTCGGGGCCCCGTACGGAAAAAAACGAGGCATCGGGGCTCCGGCCTCGCCCCCCCCGTGGCTGGCTTCTGGGCCATGCGGTCGGAGGTCCCTCGGGAGGCCTCCGAGGGCCAAGAGCAGTGCCAGACGGGCCCAGGAACGATAATGCTCGAGTCTCGGTCCTCGAATCCGCGACGACGACGACGACGTCGACGACGACGACGACGACGACGACGACCACGACAACGACGACGACGGCGGCGACGACCACGACCACGACGGCGGAGACGACGTCGTTCTGATGTTCCCGGAAGTCTCCCGAGGGGACGTCCACCGAGGTCTCCAGAGGCGTTCGGAGCCCACCGGAAGCAACAGACAAGCTGAGAAGCCTGGATCCCCTGGATGCTCGTGCATCTATCCTCGACCTCGACGACGGCGGCGGCGCGTGGCGTCGCTCAATGGGGGGGCGATACATCGGGGGGGAAGAAAAGTGCACTTCTCGGGCCTTAACGGGCCTCATTTGGACCCTGAAGGGGCCCTGAAGGGCCTTTTTAGGGGCGCTAAAGGGCCGCTTTTCTGCCGCCCTCGCTGCCCACGCCATTTATCGCTTTCCCAATACGCTCGCGCTTCACGCTGCGCCGCGAAAGGCAAACAGCTTCGAGCTCTCGCGCTGCCCGCATCCTGGGGCAGAAGAGGAGGACGAGGATGATTAGACGTAGCCTAAGGCCCGCCCGCTATATCTTGACAGGAAGCGTGGCCTTGCCGCGATCGAGCAGTGGACCGTGGGTGGAGAGACCCGACCCAATACGAAGGAGCGGCGTGCTGGTGCTCAACGGGCAGAGGCGGGGAGCACGGATTTGCCACGACAATTTCTGACCTGAACGCCCCGCACAGCCACAAAATCGCGTAAGAAGATGAGAATGGGGAGGACGAGTTGGAGGACAAGGAGGAGGAGGAGGAGGAGCAAAATCCAGGAAGACGAGGAGGATGAGGATGAGGAATCGCGAGCCGCGAGTCGAGAACAACTTCGAGCCCTCGTGGCGGCCCTTGTCGAACCCCGGCCGGCGACGACAGTGGCCACGGTGCCTAGGCATCGGTGCCCGAAGGACCGCGCCGGCCGCGGCCCCACACCGAGGCGTCGGAGCCTTCGGGCTCATCGCCGTCGACGCCGTCGAGGATCTAGGTTCGAGGATCCATGCTCGTCGGATGACGATCAGGAAAAGCAAAGGGGTACTTAGACAAACGCGTTCCACTAGTCGTAAACAAGCTACTCGTCAGCGTCCTGGATCCATTGCATCAAGGCAAGCAGGCCCCCTTGCATCGAGGCAAACGTTAGTTCTGTTGGACGTTTGCAAGCAGGCACTTTGCGAGTAGTGGAGCGCACTCGGTGAGGAACGATTGTGAATGATGTTCTCTGCCGCTGGGGGAATCTCTTGGAGAGGACGATCGGCTTCTCTCAACGACGACGACGTCCACGAGCAAGTCTGGAACTCAATTCGTCCATCATCGCACAGGGTGTTGCTGCGCGACGCCCGCCCGCACTCACATGAGGAGGAGGAGGAGGAGGAGGAGGAGGAGGAGGAGGAGGAGGAGGAGGAGGAGGAGGAGGAGCGAGGAGGAGGAGGAGCGAGGAGGAGGAGCGAGGAGGAGGAGGAGGAGGAGGAGGAGGAGGAGGAGGAGGAGGAGGAGGAGGAGGAGAAGGAGGAGGAGGAGGAGGAGGAGGAGGAGGAGGGTCCAGCAGCGGCCCCTGCTCGGCCGAGACTGGATGAGAAAACCTCCCCGCCGTGAGATATACCCATGGCGCAGGGAGTTATGGGAAGACTTCTGGACGCCGTCCTCCTCGTGGTCGCCGCCGCCGCCGTCGTCAAAATCGTCGCCGTCGCCGTCGGTGGCCGCAGTCGTCGTCGTCGTCGTCGTCGTCGTCGTCGTCGTCGTCGTCGTCGTCGTCGTCGTCGTCGTCGTCGCCACCGCCGCCACCGCCGTAGCCGCCGCCGTGGTAGCCGTTGGGCAGGGGACCGCTCCGGCCGCGGCCCCGAGGAGCAGCCCAGCCGCGGCGTCTGGCCCGGAGTTGGCAAGCGCCTGGAGGGGGGGGCGGGGCCGACGCAGCGATTGCCAGAACCAGCCCTCGCTCTCGAGCTCTGAAGAGGCTGCCGTCTTTTGTTGTTTCTCGTTGCTGTAGCTGTTGCTGTTGCTGTTGCTGTTGCTGTTGTTGTTGTTGTTGTTGTTGTTGTTGTTGTTGTTGTTGTTGTTGTTGTTGTTGCGTTTTGGTGAACTCTTTCTTGTGCCTCTATTCTGTGTAGTGCAACCCAGAGGGTCGGCGAACCCATGTCATGGGCACCCCGGCCGCCCCGGCCCATCTATGGGCACCCCTGTTTTCCCGGGCCCATTCGCTGTGCAAGAGCATTTCCAACATGGGCCGGGGCTCATTTTGTTTATTTGTGCGTCAGAATCTAAGTTATGGGCCCCAGCCTCCTGTTCATTAAAGCGACCCTCTCGTTCAGGGCGTGCCCATTTATGGGTCCGCCTGGGCAGGAGGAGCCTCGAGGAGGAATCCTGGATATCTATGCAACATCTCGAGAAAGGATCTCGAGAAAGGATCCCGAGAAAGGATCCCGAGGACGGATCCGAGAGCGCACGGAGGGATCCCAGGAGCCTCGAGGAGAGATCCGAGGTGCCTCCAGGAGGGATTCCATGACTTTCACAGGAGCCTGTGGAAGGGAGCCCAGGGAGCCCCCAGGAGGGATCCCAGGAGATGTTCAGGAGACTCGCGGACGGATTCCAGGAGGCTCGAGGAGGGATCTGAGGAGCCTCAAGGAGGGATTACAGGAGCCTCGAGGCGGGAGATCCCAGGAGCGTTTCGGGAGCCTCGCCGAGGGACCCCAGAATCTTCGAGGAGGGCCCTAGAAGCCCCCAAACATTTGCCCCGCAGTGTGACAAAATATCAACAAAGCGTCGTCAACCCGCTGGGATCTGTTGACTCCTGTTGACCGTCACGGGACGGACTCGAGTTGACTCCTGTTGACCGTCAAGGGGCGGATTCGTTTTCGCTCGGGATGTCTGGTTAACAATGCGTCAACACCTCGGTCAACATGTGTCTCACCGAAACAAAAATAGGCACCTCCTACCAAACCCTGTATGCACGGTTTCCCCCGGGGCCGTAGGCGACCCGAGGAGGAGAAGGAGGAGGAAGAGGAAGAGGAGAAGGAGGAGGAGGAGGAGGAGGAGGAGGAGGAGGAGGAGGAGGAGGAGGAGGAGGAGGAGGAGGAGGAGGAGGAGAGGGTCGAGGAGGGAGGATGAGGGTGGAGGAGGAGAGGGAGAGGGCGGAGGATGAGGATGAGGATGAGGAGGAGGAGGAGGAGGAGGAGGAGGAGAAGGGAGGAAAGGAGGAGAGGAGGAGGAGGAGGAGGAGGAGGAGGAGGAGGAGGAGGAGGAGGAGGAGGAGGACGGGTCGCCGAAGCCCTTCGGAGAAACCCTCCAACCGTGTATACGCGGGCCAACTGTGGGCCAACGCGCGTCAACAAGCTGCTGCCATGTGCTGACATCTGTTGGCCCCGAGGGCGCTCTCAGGTCGAGACGGGCGCTCAAGGGGGTGGGCCCCAGGACTCTCCTGGGAGCTTCGGGAGGGGTCCCAAGGAGCCTCGAGGAGTGATCCCAGCAGCGTCGAGGTAGAACCCAATGAGCCTCGTGCGATCTGCTGTCAGGGTAGTAAAACAACAAATGGATCCACTTCCTCCTTCCGTGGAATTAGAATGCCTGGAGATAGGGTCACGGTTAAGGCGACGCCCGTGGCGCTTCAGGGCGAGGCGGACCCATTTGAAGACGCATCTCGCGCACCGTCGCGGGGCCCAAGCAGGCCCAATTTAGGACAAATTTCGCGTGGTCTCAGCATGTCAAAACGCGATCATGTCTCTGTGCGTCTCATCTGCGTATATGGTTGTACGGCCGAAACAATGTTCCGCGGCACCCTGCGTCCTCTCAAACAGGTGGATGTGAAAACTGTTTTCTGGGTCCCTGCCCACTATTGGACATCATGTTTTGGACCCGGGCCCATGTGTGGGTCCGCCTCGGTGGCTGCCCAGGCCCATGTACGGGACCCCCCTTCTGAGCGTGGAACACAGAATCGGTCCCCGCCCAATCGATCTTTGATGGTTCTACTGTGCCCCCCAGAACTTCTGCGGGTCCCTGCGGGGAGCGACAGCGAACGAGGAGAAGGAGAAGGGAGGAGGGGAGGAAGGAGGGCAGGGGAGGTGGCTCCGCCCACCGGCGGAGCCGCGCCCTGCCGAAGAGGCTGCCCCGAGAGGGCGTCCGACGGCCAGGGCTCGGCGAAGCCCCGCGCTCCCCCGAGCGCCAGCGGCGTGCCGAGGATCCCGACGGCCGCCGCGTCGACGAAGCTCTCCCGCTTCATCTCCTCGGCCGGGGGGCCGTGGCCCCGCGATCGGAGGGCGGCGGGACCACGGTCGGCCCGTATCATACGGATGCGCGATAAGGGTGCCCGGGCCCTGGACGCCCATGTCGAAGCTTTTCGAGGGGGGCGCGGCCAACGACTGTGGCCAAGGATGCACCGATGGGGGCAAGGATGCACGGGTACCCTTGGTAAGGTTACACCCATCTTTACTATATGCGGGTCGACTGCACACCATAACTTAACGATGCCCACCTGCTGGGAAGGCCCACCTCGGGGCTGCGACTGCCCCGCCGCGTGCACGTTTTCCCCCGGGGCCGTCGGCGACCCGAGGAGGAGGAGGAGGAGGAGGAGGAGGAGGAGAAGGAGGAGGAGGAGGAGGAGGAGGAGGAGGAGGAGGAGGAGGAAGAGGAAGGAGGGAGAGGAGGAGGAGGAGGAGGAAGAGGAGGAAGGGGAGCAGGACGGAGGAGGAGGGAGGGGAGCGAGGGAGGGAGGGAGGGAGGGAGGGAGGAGGGAGGGAGGGAGGGAGGGAGGAGGAGGAGGAGGAGGAGGAGGAGGAGGAGGAGGAGGAGGAGGAGGAGGAGAGGAGGAGGGAGGGAGGAGGAGGAGGAGGAGGAGGAGGAGAGGGGAGGAGGAGGAGGAGGAGGAGGGGAGGAGGAGAGGAGGAGGAGGAGGAGGAGGAGGAGGAGGAGGAGGAGGAGGAGGAGGAGGAGGAGGAGTTGGAGGAGGGGGAGGGGGAGGAGGAGGAGGAGGAGGAGAGGAGGAGGAGGAGGAGGAGGAGGAGGAGGAGGAGGAGGAGGAGGAGGAGGAGGAGAAGGAGGAGGAGGAGGAGGAGGAGGAGGAGAGGAGGAGAAAGAGAGTAGAGCAGGAGGAGGAGGAGGAGAAGGAGGAGAGGAGGAGAGGGGAGGAGGAGGAGGAGAAGGAGGAGGAAAGGGAGCAGGAGGGAGGAGGGAGGGAGCGAGGGAGGGAGGGAGGGAGGGAGGGAGGGAGGGAGAGAAGGAGGGGGAGGAGGAGGAGGAGGAGGAGGAGGAGGAGGAGGAGGAGGAGGAGGATTTGTTTGTTCCTCCCTCATCTCTGGCGTGCTGAATGGTTCCGAATCTCGCTGAGCATCAGTTCGTTCACCTGTGACTGCATGCGTACTCTCATATCTTAAATCATAAAGTTCACATATGCGAATTGGCTCATGAGAAGACCGAATTGTCTCGATACTGCCATTTGCCGGGCTACAGCGCTAGTGACACAGGCATTGGGGCGCCTAGCGAGATAGGCCTGCACGTGACGATACTCAGAAGCTGAAGCACATCGTACGGCTAACTCCTCAACGTACCTCGCCACGTAGTGTCTGACCACACTGCGTACCACGGCCTGCGCACCAGCAGTCGCCTCGACAACTCTTGCGCCAGCCGCCACTTCAGATAGAGCGGGGAACGTCGGCACAGATGGAAAGGACGAAGCTGAAGGCCCAGCTTCAAAGACAGAGTCACCCTCAGGAGGCAGAAAACCAGGACGTCGAAGAAGCGCCTGCACGTCGTAGAGTGGCAGCCACGTAGCAACGGCTCCCACGGGCCAGGCCCAGAGAGGGGGACCATGGTCAAGTAGAGCACCTCGACTATTCCCACCAGCGTGTATAGCGACAGCATCACGATCATGAGGTCGACCAACAGGAGGACCCGCACGACCCTGCTCAGAACGTAGATCTGCACTCCCACGATCAGCACGACCAGGCCCAGGAAGAAGAACTGCACCACCAGTGTCACGACGGGGAGCGTCACCACCAGGCTCAGGTAGAGGAGCTGCACGGGCAGGTTCCTCAAGAACGACGGCACGACCTTCAGGAAGACTGGAGAGGAGGTCCACACGTGGGACGCGACGAAGATCATCACCATGCTCACGGGAAAGGTCCATACCACTCGCAGGCAGAAAACGCCACATATGCTCAGGAATTGGATCTGCATGACCAGGCTCAGGAAGGAGATCACCATGACCAACCTCATCTGGATGAACCGCTCTCCCATGCTCAGCAAGTAGATCTGCACGCCCAGGGAGATCTGCACATACGGCACCACTAGGACAATGTCGAGGAGCTTTGGGACTACGATGCTGCCCACCAGACCAGGGATCAGAGCCACCATGTGCATGCCACGGGTCGCGTCCCTGAACATCTTTACGAACCTCTGAACGCCCACGACGGTGAGGACCACGCCTACGAGGACCACCATCGCCACCTGGACCGAATTGAGAATCATCTTCATCATCACCGACGGGATGCTGGTCATCAGGAGTAGGCCGAAACCAGAAATGCACTTCGCTACTAATCGTACTCGTGCGTCGATGCCCGCGATCAACTGTGACACCCAGCACAAGAAGGGGCGTGAGCGAATCCAAGGCTGCTAGAAACAATATCCGACCAGCATGTGGAAGAAGAGGCCCATCGTGACGAATTACCACTTTGAGCTTGCCGATGTCCTCGGCCTACGATGCAGAAATTGGCAGCTGAGCCGGAACTCCCTGTGCCACTCGAGTGCGAATCTACTCCAGGCGGCCAGCCACCACCATGCGGGAGGAAGGGAACAGCGGGGGGCGCACGTGCGGCCAGGAAGCCACGGGCCAAGCAAGTGCTTGAGCCAAAGTGGCTTGAGCCAAAATGGCTACGGAGGAGGAGGAGGAGGAGGAGGAGGAGGGAGGAGGAGGAGGAGGAGGAGGAGGAGGGGGAGGAGGAGGAGGAGGAGGAGGAGGAGGAGGAGGAGGAGGAGGAGGAGTTGGAGGAGGGGGAGGGGAAGGAGGAGGAGGAGGAGGAGGAGGAGGAGGAGGAGGAGGAGGAGGAGAAGGAGGAGGAGGAGGAGGAGGAGGAGGAGGAGGAGGAGGAGGACGGGTCGCTTAAGCCCTTCGGAGAAACCCTCCACCGCCGCGGGCGCCGCCATCCCCCCGAGGGCACAGTGGGCCAAGGGGCAGCGTGCTCTCTTTCGCCCACCAGGGATGCGCCGGCATGCGCGTCCAGACCTCGCGGCCCTCCGGAGGGCCTGAGCGGGCTGGGCCGGCGCGTCCGGCGCTGCGCTCCATTCTCGGGAGGAGGGGCAGGAGAGAGGGCAGGGAGAGCCAGGTGCGCTCGCGCCATATCTAACGTCCTGCCCCTCCCACCCATCCCTTCCCAGTGCGTTGATCTTTTCTCTGTCCACGGACGCATGTTGTAGGCGGGCCTGCAACTCCCAGGTAGGAGGAAGGATGGGAGGAAGGACGGGAGGAGTCCTTTTCGATCTCTGGGGCCCTCGCCAAGCCCCAAGGATCACCAACAAACTGCCCAATATGAAAAACTGGCGCTGGGAACACGGTCGGAATTCTCGGTGGCCAAGGCTCAACCAATTATCCTGGCGACGTACCCAACCCCTACGCAATGTGGGGCAGGAGTAGCTTGGGAGATTTGACGAGACGGCAACGACGTGACATGGACGCATATACTTCTGCGAGCAGCATCCGGAAGGTTCGCAGGTGCCAGTCAAGGGAAAAACGATGAGTAATTCAGTGAACTCCTGAGTCACGAAGGAAGACGCACGGTCCCAAAGGAGACTGTGGGCAAGGGACTTGAAACGTCGGCGGGGCAACAACAACATGACATGGCCGCCCAGGGACGGCGAGGTCCCGCGCAGGTCCGCGCGGTGCCTCACCCCGCTGGACCCACCAGCAGCCTTCGAGAGTGGCGAGCCCACCAGCAGCCCTCGAAAGTGGCGACAGTTTCGCAGATCGCAGCCCCCCAGGGACGGCGAGGTACCTCAGGTCTGCGCGGTGCCTCACTCCGCTGGACCCACCAGCAGCCTTCGAAAGTGGCGCCAGTTTCGCAGATCGCAGCCCCCCAGGGACGGTAGGTCTACCTCAGGTCTGCGCTGGACCCACCTGCAGCCCTCGAAAGTGGCGACAGTTTCGCAGATCGCAGCCCCGCAGCGACGGCGAAGAGAAGGCAGGAGGAGGGAGGATGCGGGAGGAAGAACGCGAGAGAAGTGCTCTATTCGAAACGAATACCCAACCAAGGAGGGTTGGGGAAAAATCAAAACATTGGATTTTGGGGATCCCAAAACCGTGTGATGACTGACAGACCGCGCGACCTCAGAACCCCAAGAGACCTCACCAGTCCGTGTATCTGCACGCTTTTGAGACCCTGGAAGCCCCGAGCCATCCTCGGAGAACGACCCCCACACGCCGTTCGGGGGGCCCCGGCGGATGTTTGGGACGGGGTCGAGAGGTCCGGAGCCCCGAGGCTCGAAAACATCGGGTCGTCGGAGGCCTGGGTGGTGCGCACTGCGCCCACACATCCGCTCAGAACAAGCCGAACGACACGTCATTGGGGGGTCCATGTTGGCTGGCACCTCGTCGAGCTGGGTCGATCCAGCCGCGGCGACGAGGACCTCCAGAAACGCCCCACTGCGCCGACGTCGCCTGTGTGTTTCCCGACTGCCACTCCCCTAGAAATCTCGACCCCCGGGGCCCGTTGCCTATCCTGAGAATTCTCGATTGCTTATTTGCGACGACCAGATCCAAAGGACATCCAAGACGACGACGGCGACGAATACGACTCCGTCGGCGTCGTGGCGGACCAAGTGGGCGGCCCGCCAACAAAAAACGCAGCATCGTGACACACACACACATATACATATATACACATATATATATATGTAGATATATACATACAACGTGGAAAATCACGACGGCAGTCTAGACACTTCTTTCTGCCGCATTTCTCTCTCTCTCTCTCTCTCTCTCTCCCTCCATCTCTCTCTCTCGCTCTCTAGGGAAAGAAAAAGAGAGACAGAGAGAGAGAGAAAACGAGAAAGTTATATATTTATATATATCATATATATATATATAGATTGATATGCTTCCGTAGCCACTTTGGCTCAAGGCCATGAGGTGCCCGACGACCGCGACTCCGTCGCGGGCGTCTCCTGAGCGCGAGGGTCCTCGCGCTTTGGGGCAAGGAACGACAAAGCGTAGAGCAGCCGCCTGGCCGCGGCGCGTGGCCCCCCCTCCTCCTGCTTGCCTTGCTCGGGGCGCCTTCTCTCAGAGGGCGGCAGCAATGGCGGGCGGCGGCAACGGGGGAGAGCGTGGTGGTGGCGGCAACGGCAAGCCTGGAGGGGGCGGTGGTGGGGGACCCCGTAGCCTGGGCTCAGGCGCAGCAGTGCGCGCGAGCGGGAAGTCCCCGTGGTACTGCAAGCTCAGCGAGCTGACCCACCTCTTCGCCTTCATCGGCTGCGCCGGGCCCCGCGGGGCTGCGCGCCGCTGAGGCGTCGGTGCTGAGAGACACTGAGGCCAGGATGGGTGACGTGCGACCGCCCGCCAAGATGGCCTCTGCTAACGGGTCGCCACAGCAGCGTACAGCTGTGAGGGTGGAAGGGGCGATGTGGGCCGGCGTCCCTCCTCCCAGGTATCGTGGAAAGAATGGTGTTCTGTTCTCTCGCCAGGTGCCTGAACCTCGCAAGGCCATCGTGGGGCGGGGAGGGGCCAAACCTCTTCGCATCATGCCGTTGCGTGCCGAGGAGAACGGCGCGCCGAGACGCCACCTCCATCGACCGGCTCATCAGAGACAGCCGGACGCCGAGTGGAGGCTTGTGACGTTCAACGCACAGGGTTGGGATGTCTTTCGCAACGATAATCGCCACAAAACTGCCAGTATTGTGTCTGCTGCCAGGGAGGGGAGGTGGAACCTTGCTTTCTTATCAGACATACATTGTTCTTCGGAAGGGGATCAATTGCAGTTGGTTGGAGTGGAGGAGTTTTTGTTGCTACAGTGGGGCTGCGTCGGGCTGCTGCTGGCGGCCCCCACGTCGAGGGCCTGGCGGGCCGGAGGCGCCGGAGTCGTGCGCGTGCCGGACTGCGACCGCCTGCTCACCATCATCGTGCCCATCAACGGGCGGAAAGTCGTCTTCACCACCGGCTACCAGCCGACGGGCGCGGCGCCCCGCGCAGTGCGGGACGAGTTCCTGGAGCACTTCCGGGAGCTGCAGGAGGTGATCCCGTCCTGCTCCCAGCACATCATGGGCGGCGACTGGAACGCCCACGTCGGCGCCGACGCCGCGGGAGAGCCCGGCATCGGGCCCAAGCTGCTCAGCACGCCCACAGCCAGACACAGCCGCGCTTTCACGAAGGTGCTGGAGGATCATCGTCTTCGACACGTCGATTCCCACCTCGCTTGTCGTCAGAGGGCCACGTGGCGATCGCTAGGCATCGAGCAAGGCCGGTGGTACGAGAATGATTACTTCATCACCGACGGCCCGGTGTCTGCGAAGCGGTGGAAGCGGCTGCGGACCTTCGCCATGCCGTTCGGCGACCACTTCGCCAAGTTTGTGTCGTACTGGCCTCCTGGCAAGCCCCAGGGGCGCCGCGATGTGCGAGAGCTCGTGAACGGCTTCACACTGGAGCCGAGACCAGCCGGGCGCCTCCGCTACGACTTGATGAGGGGTCCGTCTCCCGAGGCAGCCGCTCTGCGCGCCGAGTTCGGCGAGGCCACGGGCCGCGCCCTCGGGGAGCCCGACAGGCCGGCGTGGGGCGAGCTCGCCGCCGCCATGCGCATCGCTGCAGAGGAGGTTCTGGGTCGTGCCCCACGGCGTGACGACGTGCCCGTGCTACAGAGGCTGCGACCCACTGAGCAGGCGCACCGCCGAGCACAACAGCGCAGCTGGGAGGCTGTGCGGCGGGCCATCGGCACCGGCGCCGAGGAGGAGGCTCGGAAGGAGCATCGCCGCCTCCGCGCCCAGCACCGGAGGGACCTACGGAGCCTCCGGCGCCAGATCGTGCACGGCGTGGTGACCGATCTTGAGCACGCCGCCTCCTGCCACGACACGGGGGCCTTCTACCGCGGCATGAAGGACCTCGGCGTGTGGCTCTCCGACAGCAACACGACCGGCCGCGAGGAGTACACTCCCGAGGAGGGCAAGGACCACTTCCTCAATATTGGCGGCGACCCCAACCCAGTGCCGGAGGAGGTGCTCGACGACCTCCCGGAGGCTTTCTGGCAGCAGGGGCGCGCGCAGGCAGAGACGTTGGGCCGGCCCCCGCGAGACGCGGAGATCGATCGCGCCATCCGTGGGCTTCGCGACAGCGCCCCGGGGGACGACGAGGTCACGATCGGCATGATCAAGGCGGCCGGAACGCCTGTGGTTTCGGAGGTCCGCCGCCTCGTCCGCCTCTTTTGGAACACTCCGCACGAGCACTGGGTCGAGGTTCTGGGGCAAGAGCCGCTCCGCGCAGTCGTCATCCTCTTGTTCAAGAACAAGGGGTCTCGCTCCGACCTCGATAATTACAGGGGCATCTGCCTGCTCAGTATGCTTTCCAGGATCGTCGCCAAGCTTGCTGCCACCAGGGTATCCCAGTGGGCCGAAGCCTCGGGCCTCCACGTCCGGGAGCAGTGGGGCAACCGCAAGTACCGCTCCACGCGGGACGCCGTGCTGATC